GATTGAAATTTAGATTAATTGCTATTTTTATGATTTATGTTCACATCAACCATGATAACTCCAAATAGAATAATTCGAAAATTTGCGCACAGTGTTTGTACGTTATTATGATTGATTTAGGATAAAAGTTAAAAAATTAGCCTAATAGAATTTAAATTATATAATTTTTCCTTCAATAGTGTACTCATTTTTTAAACTTTTGAGTGCTGAATAACATATTTAGCCATATATTACTAGTGAATCAATATTTTCCGATCATCCTATAACACTGTATGCTTATGGTTAGTATATATATAACATAAAATCGAAGTTATGTTTTTATCATCATTATTTTCTTGTCATTTTTATTGTGAATATACTGAAGCATTAGTGCAGTCCTATAAAAAATGTCATAAATTCCGAAATATAACAAACATTTTGGAAAACGCCCTTCGAACAAAATCGATTATATTAGTTTATTAACTGCCAAAGACCAAGATTTGCTGAAAAACGTACAAACCGTTAGTAGTCAGTAGACAAAGGAGACACCCATAACTTAAGGAACTCCACAGAGCACACAGATAAACAACACAGCATCTAAAAATGCATTATAAAGATATACATAATAACAATAACGTAGCACTAGAAGAATCAGAAAGTGATTATCAAACATTTTGAACGTAAGGAAGTATAAAAAAACAAGCATAATATATTGATGCACTGTGAAAAGCCTCGAAACGCTGCTTTTCTGCAGAAAATATCGCCGGAAATATATATACCTGCAAACAAAATCTAGTCGGTGCCTTTATAATAAAAATGGGATGACATTTTTAAAGCCTTGGACTTACATCACTGTGGCACGCGCGCTACGCTTGATGAAGACAGAGCTTTTTTGAAGTAAAAGAAATGATAATAAAAAGAAGCAACAAAGCGTGTGATGAATATGCTTCCCTCTGTCAGCTTAATCCATTCTTCGCTGTTTTCGAGGTAGTTGATACTAAGATAGTGTTACGGATATTTTCACTTTTCTGTGCTTTTTAGCCACAGTGCTCGATATTCTTGTTTGATATATTTTTTAGTTCCTAGATTTAGATATAAAAGAAGTTAGGATTCTCCGGGGACAATTTAAACAAAGCTATTTGATTTATTTATTCTGTCCCCAGCGGAAAATTGCGGATTTTCGCGTTTTCACTGACGTTCCTTACTATGGTAACGGCTAAGGAAGACTTTCCGCATTATGGACTAATACTGGGTTTACTGTGAAAGATACCGGCATTTTGTATTTGCTCCTGCACTGACTTTTCGTAACTTAGAAATATTTTATTATTTCCTCAAATTCATGCTTTGAGCGCTTTAGATTGTTAACATGCTATACGGAAAATGAAAAGCAGATCTTTATTCAGCTTTTTATCGTTGTTATAACAAACGACTTTCGAATAAAGATTATGGTATTTTAGACTGAATTCCAATAAAAAGTTTTTGAACCTTCGTTAAGACTTTATTTCAGCAATGTTTTGCAACAATTTTATTTTACTAAAGCAGAAAATATCCAGCGGTTCGTTTCAGCGATTTCTAATAAAGCTTAGAAAATGTTCAAGATAATAATAGATTTGCCCACTTATGTCATTCGATATCAGTAACTGTCGATGGAGAGTCGGATCGAAGCAGTTGCTTATACACTAACGACCACAAACAAAAGATGTTTAAGAAAAAACTGCATTAAAATACAAAAAATAAAAATTATATAAAATTAACAGTAAGGACTGCATGAACGTTCTTTGTTAGAATTTCAAAGAAATTCTGTAATAAAAAGAGAGTATAAAAGATGATCTTCTTAAATTACTTCAGTATTAAGTTAAAAAAATAGGCTCTAGTATATCAAAGAAATACTTTCCATGTCTATTTTCAATGAGAGTATATAAGTTGATTTTCTTAAATTACTTCAGTATTAAGTTAAAAAATAAAAAAAGAAAATTCTGTAGTATATCCATGAAATATTTTTTCATGCCTAACTTTCCGAGACCCTTCACAAACCAGAGAGCCGAAGGTAGGAAAAAAGAGATTGTATGAAAACAAAATCATTTTGTACCAAGTGCGGATATGGCAGAAGAAATATCTTTTATTCATCAAAATAATGCTTAAAATCTTTTCATTTATTAATTGATTGCATTATAAATTAAGTGTATTTTAATTGTAGTAACGATATATATCATTCAAGAATGAAATAAAGATTTTCATTACGAAGAAATACGTATATTGCCTATAAATATCGAAATGTATGAAGCAATTGTAATGTAATTTGGAAGCTAAATTAAAGAGGTAATACCGATATACCAAATGGTACCGAATGTTTGCCATTCCGTGTACAAGATGAATTAAATAGATCTTGAGTTTTGGATAAAAGTAAAAACTAGGTAGATGGCAAATTTAATATTAGCATAATGCTAAGAAACACAATGGTGAAAAGAATTTCGGAAAGACTTTGAACACTTTTGTAACTTCTATAAAGTAACATTAAAAAGGAAAACCTGAAATCATTCCTGCTTACTTCTTATTACTTAATAGTACACATAAATATTTCTTTTGTGCTTTTCCAGATATTCTGGAGTAGCTGTAAAATGTTTGTATATTTGCTATACTAACTATATACATTAAAATAGTGCATTTCAATGTTGTAGGGGAAATTATTATCAAGCAATTACGATTCCCATGATACCTAATGAATTTATACCTTACGAGAAAGTGGAACGAGAAAGTGGAACACAAATACTATTTTACTATAGTATTTGTAGTAACTGTAAAACTGTTGCGAAGTAAACGAGAAAGTGGAACACAAATACTATTTTACTATAGTATTTGTGTTCCACTTTCTCGTTTACTTCGCAACAGTTTTACAGTTCTTGCGCAGAGTTACCGTGAAACGGAAATCATAGCAAAAGGAGGGTTACGCATCTACGAAAATACGCACTTCCCACTTTTCTTGACATGTACACTGCAGGTAAAAAAAATGGGACAGTTCTACTGTGCCGATTGAAGAAATTCAAACTACGTTTTCCATGTCTCGAAAGCGCGACTTAGGATATATATTAGATTTATATGTAGCATTGTTCTAATATAGGTATTTTGACACAAAATCTGACTTTTTCTGAAATAACATGCCAATTGTTTTCGATAGTTCGATTCTGCGCTTCAAATTATCCCTAAATATTAAAATTTGTAAAATTTGGTACGAAATTTACGGAGAAATTAAAAAAATTATCTTGGGCATTTTTTCCGTTTTCGCCAAGAATAATTCACTTGACGAACTCCTTAATATATGGCAACCTATTTCCCTTTTTTTTTTACATTGTGTATGAGCGGGAAAAAAGACACATCGTTCCATTTCAAATTATTTTAACAAAGTGCCTAAACCACATTTAATGCTATTATCGCTTTCAACAAATATGTCAAATTTGAAAACAGTATATAAATTCACGTACATCTTCGGAAATTTTGAATTAAAAAAACTCTAATTTTTTGTAGGTTTAAAATGATAGTAATAATTTTATTATAATTCAAATCTGTTTTAGAAAAAATATTTAAAAATACAAATTTTAAAAATAAATCATAAAAAATGAGCGAATATTATTTGGAATGAACCTAAATTTCGAAATGTGAAAGGAAGAATGAAATAGGCTTAATAAAAAAGAAAGATTAATAAATGTATACCAAATTCAATTAACATTGAGGAGCTAAAATTTTCAGAGTAAATTTTTTAAAAACTACTCGTGCGATTTTTACAAAACCTGGCAGTTTGGAATAATTTGAGTCGTAGAATCGAAATACGGAAAACAATTGGCATATCATTTCAGAAAAGTCCGATTTTGTGTCAAAATACCAAAATTAGGACAATACTATATATAAATCTAATGCATATCCTAAGTCGCGCTTTTGAGACACAAAAAACGCAAGTTGAATTTTGTCAGTCGGCCCAGTAGAACAGGAGATTCTGAACTGCCCCCCTCCCTTTTTTGTTTTTGGCAGTGCACTTTTCATCCACTCTTTAGCACGCTTTACTCACATTTTTGTGTTAGTACGTCACGCAACAATACGATGCCATATAATTATAAATGATTTTTAATATTTTACCACACTACTACAACTTAAAAATATTTAGTTTATAATATATACAAATCTTAGTTTTTAATAACATTTCTAGCAATATTTGCATTTAGTAAAGAAATATTCTTAACGCTGTATATTACATATCTCAAGTCTTTTCTGTTTTAATAAATAAGTATATTCTTTATGTTGATGATGTAGAACATAACGCAATTGGTATATAAAGACGTATCTGTAGTCATAGTCGATTCAAAGCTATTTTATTTGAGAAAAACCATTTTTGAAGCAAACGTACACAGCTAAACCGACGCACTCGATATTCAGTAATTATTTCTTGTCTTTTTCATATTTTCATAATCCACTTGAAATCTGTAAAAAGCTAGAAAAGCGGCAACAGCAAGCTAGCTAATTAGTCAAGGTTCGAATTCGCAAATTTTAATATTGTTATTGATTAAACCATCATGAACGTTATGTAAGAATCATACAGAAAGGATCATTTTTAGAATGATGTAGTTTAGAGAGATTTATTATAATCATGGTTTTGAAGATAGAAAAGTGAAATAGCAATATTTAGTAGGAGACTTAAAAAAGCTCTTATAAATTAATGTCATACATTTAATTACACATTCTTTATATTACACACACATATATATATTTCATAAACATTAACATTTTGCGTTGTAATTCAAAAGATGGAACATTCCGATCACATAGTACATTCCGATCTGCAAACAATCTTTAGTCATTGCTCTTAAATATACAAAACCAGTTGGAATTTGATAATTATTTGTTGAATTATTAAATCTTTCCAAGCTACATATAATCTTAAGCGAAACGTTAAGGCTTCTTTTTTATACCTGGTTAAAACCTTTTGAGTGCATTTCTGGATAACACTAAAAGTCAAAATTTAAATTACTAACCTGCTTCTGCTGCAACATCTGACGCATTCAAGTGCTGTGTATTTGGGTTGACTTTAAAAGTAATTTGTCTCCCATCCAACCTGAAACATAAAATTCAATGAGCAAAGAATAGACACAAAAATCACAGTAGAATCTCAATTATCCGACATTGGTCGATATTCAGGTCAAACGTTGGGCATGGCCAGATGTGATGAAGCTATCGAATACAGATTTTTAGAATAGGCACCCTGAGCCTTACGCCTAATTACAACGTAAGGCTTGCAAAGCTGGATTATTAAAAGACAGACATAATTACTGCACATCCTATTTAATGCATAATTTCAGTTTTGTAATTATTCTTTATAAATCTTAAATTTATGTAAAAGAGGTGAAAAGTATTCAGTGATTCGCCGGGACACGAACCCTGAACTGCTCGAGTACTTATTGGGTATGCTTCCAATTACATCACAAAGGCATGTGGAGATAAATTTCAACAAGTTACTCTGATAAAAAACAGTTTATGCGGTTATATTTTCCAGCGATCATATTACTAATGGCAATAATAGTAACATTCAGCAGTGAAGTAAGCTGTTGCGTACGTCAAATAAAACGCAATGTCGGATAAATTGGACTCCATATTTACATAAGACATAAATATACACATTTTAAAATAAAAAATATTAAATTGCTGTTTGTTCTGATATTTTATGTCTTCTGTAAATATTATATATAAACTTTAAACGTATGCAACACTAAGTTATATCAAGAAGGCCGATATCTACACAAGAAAACTCCTTTTGAAAATATTTTTTGTATACTTAATTCTCACGGGTTTCCTTAACCAAGATTAAACACTAAAATTTCGATAATATAGTACGTTTCAGACTTCGATAGAATTTAACTATTAAATATGCCGAATAGTCGGGTTATTGAAAAAAAAAAGGCAGTCAAAAAATTGTAAACATAATTTAACCTATCTTAAGAATGCGAAACTAAGAACGAAGGTCTACATAGAGCAAGTTTACTTTTAGTGATTGAAAACATACTAGAATATAAATTTCAGAATAATCATATTTCATTATCTTTAGTCGACTTAAGTTTTGTAATGAACTGTATTATGTTGCAAAAAGCCTCTCCAGAATTCAAATATCGACCGTTTTCTCTATGAGTGGATCATCTTCCATTCATCACATTTATCATTGTTGTATCATCGTGAATAACGCGAAATATTCATTGCATTTTCACTGCATTGCTTTGAGGATATTATGCTCTGGAAACATACCAAATGTATTTAATGCTTCGGTAGCCTCACACCACGTAATATTAATCAAGTCATCTTCTTCATCACTCTTCTCTTACTTTGACATCAGCAAGGTTTACATAACAGGCTCAAGTTTTGCTTTCTTAATCGATTATGCAAATTTCATCTTCCGCAAATGTGACGAGAGAATTATCCCAAGCAATATTTTGTATTGAATTCAGCAGTTCAGAATGGTTACGCATAGGACCAACACTATTTTCGTTTTCTTCAACAGATTGCAGCGGCATAATATTCAGCCATAAGGCTACTGGCTCCAGAACAAATGCCGAACACTTCCGATTACTCTAAAGTGGCACGCTCATAGCTTCGTCAGATAGCATTCATATTGCATGCACACGTGTGTCTAAATATCGGAGCCAAATTTTTGCTTTATTAGAAATATGCAATGATATCTTATTTTTCCCTGACGATGGAAATATTGCGCAGAGTTTCTCATAGAGAGTTTTGAATTTCAATTCCAATGTTCGATGCGAAATTTTTATTTATTTTTTCATATTTTCTATTATTTTGTGATGACCTTATGTATTAAAGTAACATATACTTGCATATATTAAGAAGCATCACTTGATCAGTCAGCTAGAGATACTCCTCTCATACCGAAGGTCGCAGGTACGAAGGAAAATCTTTTAAGAGAGACTTTAAATTGAAAATGTACAATTATTAAGTCCTTTGTTAAAGTATTAAATTGAAAATACACAATTTAATACTTTCATCAAATGACTTAGTAGTGAAGTTTACATTTTTAGGGACTGAATCAAGGAAAATTTTATTATTCTTGGAGGTGAAGAGTTCAAACTCCTTTAGTATAAAAGTATTTAATAAGAGTTGTAAAAGGAAAAAGCTCTCGTACTGAATATTTTAGCCGTCTCTACCAAGCTCGGATGAAGTTGGACAAAATTTTAATATGATCAGCCAGCGTCTATGACTAACAACTAGCAGAAAAGCCCACAACGTTATTTATCATGAAGTCTGTCCGTAAGTCTATAGCATGATATGTCCAGTTGGCTAATTTGAGATAAGGAATTGCAATAATAATGTATTTCAAACCCTTTTTACTGGGTGCAAGTAAAACAGATTTGGGTATAGAAAAGCAAGAGCAAAATTTGCCCAGATGTTCCCATTTTTAACGATTCAATCACTCCGAGTTTCCAAATGATTTGATATAATGATTTTAATATGTATCTTAATAGTTACATTGGAGTTTATGAAATGGTAAATACAATTTGTTTAATGTCTCGTTAATTAACCACTATCCCTACTTTGCTCATATCATGGTTGAAGAACCCTTTTTGCCAGTGTTAAAAAAATAGAAAACACATGATTTAATAATTCAAATGCATTAAATTATTATCACATTATTTTGGCTGATTTCTTAACTCGCAAATAGTAATATATAATGCCAGGATGCTATTCGTATCTAAATTAAAACTTCTGATCAAATTGCCCTGATCGAATACTCTTTTCTTGAAAACATAAGAAGGAATATCGTACTATTAATATATCAGGAATTGTCTTCTTCCTCATTGTGTGTCTTCGTGGAGTAATTAGAAACATGTACGGCTAAAAGTCAAAAGTACCGGCAGTGACATAGCTGACTGCTTCGCGCAAATTGCCTGCGAATTCCAAAGGGAGTACAGAAGGGCTTAGCTAAAATGTGGTGTATGATAATTCCTCACTGACTGAAGGTGAAAATCCTGTCGTGGACATAGCTGACTTTTCTTCTTTCCTGCCGATAAATGTCTATAGAATGACTCTTTTTCATTCGAAACTTGTGTTAATTACTTTAGTATGAAAACTTTTATTTATGGGGTTTCGGCAGAAAAAGAGCTTGGATCTACACTGACAATGCGTTTGAAATTTGAGCTATAAATTTATAAATTCTATGACAGTTAATGAAATTCGTTTCAAAACCATTAATTAAAAAATTCAAACTGTCTTTCAAACTTCCGACATTGGCGAACATCTACAGAATTTCAAAATTTCACAGAACTAAAGTAGATAAATTTACAATATTTCAATTTTTTAAGTGAATAATTAATATTAGAATAGCCATTTCAATTATTTACAAAACTAACTTTAAACATGCTTTCAGAAGTTGCTGATATTCCTTTTTATTTGCTGATATTCCTTATTTATGATGTTTATTTACATGATAATGAAGTAGGTTTGAATACTTTTAGATATTTTTAAAATATTTCGAAAAAGTATAAGAAGCATATAACTTAAAAATATCTAAAAGTATGTTGTTTTGAAGAGTATTGTAATACATTTTGTTTCAAATTAATTCGTTTTTTAAATATTCATTGTCATAATTAGAAAAAAAACTTTTCTTCTCACCTAATATTTGAAAAGCTTCCACGTGGGAGGTTCAACATTTTTTCCAGCTCTTTCACCAATTTTTGAGCTTTGCTTTCATCTACATCACTTAAAAAATAATTACTTCTATTAGTAAGGACATAACAGCAAAAGAAAAGAACGTTAAAAAACAAAAGCATTTTTTTTTTCATTTTACCAAGGTTTAAAGAGCTATACTTCACTTTCAAATTACACGAAAGAGAACGTTTATATTCAGATTCATTCCTATTACTCAATGCATGGTTTACAAGATTCAATATTTTACAGATTTCTAGACTGATAAGTATTTTACAGATTTCTAGACTGATAAGTATAATTAAGTTATTAATAGCAATAAAATAGTACCGTCGCTGTCCAAATATGAAACATAACTCTCAGTCCTACGTGCAAGTAGTTACTTCATTCCAAATTAAGGTATTTTTCCCAGTTTACATTTTGACAACTTTTTCTGACATATTTCTTTCTGAATATGCTTTTATAAGAAAACGTTTTCTGACAAAGGATAACTAGGCCGATTTCTTCAAATTACGAAAAAGTAAACATATTTCCCCAAATTTCATTACAATTAATTATATACAGTTTGAAGCATAATGATTTCCACTTTGCTCTCTTTAGTTAATGGTAAGTGAAAGACAAATTATTTAACAAAACACCCTGCATCTATGAATCCTAATGACATAAATTACTACTGATTTCAAAGAATCAATAAAATGAAAGTTTTGTTAGACTTTCAATACATTTTAATTTTATTACTATTATGCCATAAACTATTTGTAGAAAAATTCTACTTACGTTTAAAAGTTTAAAAACTTTTATTTAGAAGAAGCTTAGTAGTAAATGATTTACAATGATTACAATGTACAATGATTGCATAATCGAAAATAAAGGGATGAAAAAGAAAAAATATAACATAATATTTTAAAAAAATTAGAGAAAGAAATAAAATGAAACAGATAAAATCCGTTTAACTCTATCTATTTTGCTTCCACTTCAAGCAAAATAGAAGTATCAGTAAACATTTTATAAATATGTTACTCATAAAATATTCTGTAAATATTTACGTTATTCACATATTAAATTTTAAAATTATGGTGTAATGGAAGGCAGGGATACACGCATATATTTCAGATACATGACATCAGACTCAGACAAAATTCAGAATTAAAATTTTCAGTAGTCAAACATTTTCCTAGTACATAGATAAAACATGCACCAAATCTTAATTTCATTCAAATAAAATTATAATAAGACAATTTTTAATTTATATGCATTTTTAACCATCTTAACCACTATACAAATTACATTCTCTCCTCCATATAATATACCAATCCGTATAATTGACGATAAGATACCTGAACACGATTATTCGTTTCAAATTCAGTTCTCAGCGTCTGAACGGGTGACCATGTTTGGTATTCCTCACATGCAATGTACAATATGATTATATTATTAGTGCAACGTCCTCCGTTAAGACATCCCTGTGTATTTTGCTACAATAAATATACAACCAACTAATCCTTTGTACTAAAAAATTAGGCGAAAATGAATAATTTTGCATCTTTCATTTAGAATCAGATGTAAGAGCTTCACGCATATAGGCATGTTAAAAACATGTATATTTTATGTCATTCTTAGAAAAAATCTGATTACAAGTGTGCAGTTTTTGTAGCTTGTTTTCAATAACACTTAATTTATTTGAATTTTATGTCTTAAAATATTTCAGGCTCTTTTTTAAACAAGTGAAACATTTTAAAGGAACAAACTTAATATACAGAGGATAAGAGCTTCTAATATTTTAGAAGAATTCACTGCCAGCTTATATAAGCTCTCTGCAAAAATATCCTGATAAATTCGTTACGAATTTCTTACGTGAAAAGAAATAGAATTCTTATTTAAGAAAACGTACTCGAAGAGCTTAAATGGTTGAATAGTTTAAATAATTGTCATCTTATTAAATTAATTGAAAAGGCAAAATCGAAAATTTGAACATGCTGAATACTAAATATTCATCAGCATTTTTAGTCTACTGTAATATTCAATGAACATTATTAATCTACGTGTGCCGTTGAAGGAATAATAAAGTTTAATTTTCCTCCTAGATATTCGATAACGGTTTATTTCATAAGATATGCATGTTTTGGGCTAAGTAATATTTGGTGGATAAGTATTTCAAAAATTGTTATTTTGGAAGAATTTCAAATAATTATAAAGAAGACGGCAAAACGGAGGCATAATCTCATACATAAGAATTTTTTCAATCCAAGCGCAGCGTCTGACATACACAAAGCATAACTTACAGCATACTTCAGTTTGAAATGATTAAAACTTGGAACTGAAATATGTTTACATTTCACCTTTAAATAACAATTGAAAGAAATCATCAAAAGAGCATCTTAGATAGTTTTATAGAAGAGAATATTTCTCCGATAAGTTTAAAATACAAACCTACTTCCTGAAAAATTTCTCGAAATGTTTAGGAAGAATAATGCATAGAAATTCTGTAACAGCCTTATTGAAGAAAACTTTCTCGAAACAAGAAAACATTTGAAAACGTTTGCAGAGATACTCTCTCTACAATGCCTAATGAGGGTTTTGAGTGCTGCATCATGGCTTCTTTGAAGAATTGAAGTCGGAAAAACATAAAAACAAATTTATCTAATACCATATATTTAGAAACTTGCATGCAGTTATTTTTTGTAAACAAGGGCATTTCATTACAACTTCTAAATTCTAAGATTTCGAATTGTGTTTCTGAAGTTAATAACTTAAGTAAATTTTCTTTTTCTCTGAATTTTCTTTTCTCTGAATTTAAATCGTATTTACCTAGTTATATTATAAAATATTGTATATTATTCTATGATCTCTTACCGTCGGAAACAGAAAATGTGATTTGTAAAACGATCCCACGAAAATAAACTTTCAGACTTATACAAGAAATTTAGATTTGAAAAATGAAGAAGATGCTGCAACGCTGTGCACCTCACACAATTTTGCGAGTTTATTTCGGTGATGTGTAACTGAAAATATGAATTACTGAAAGGAAATACCACACACATTTCAAGAAAAAAAAAACCTTTATGTTGCATCCAAGCGATAATAATATAGCATACGTTCATTTTGCAACTACTTTGCGGAACACTGTCGCTTATCAATATTTACTCCTATCCATTTTTTCCACTCTACGCAACCTTGAATGAATAACTAATCTTCCGGTGCAACAGTTCTCTGAGATTATAAGATAGTTCAATGTTGTTAAGTAAAAGAGCTTTGGAAGTAATAATTTAGCTTATATTATGCATTACAGGTAATGTTATTTAATACTGTTTTCTAAAATACAGCCTACTGAAATATTTAACTTATTAAAATTACCAGAATTATATTATTGTGAAAGAAAAAATTTTTCTAAAAAATAGAAAGTACTATTCCGTAATAATTCAGTATCTTTTCATATTCTTAATCCTATTTTTTTTCTGGCTCTATAAAATTCTCTACTTCATAAATGTACTTGATGTAAAAAACAGAATGATACATTAAACCCACGATAAAGAATGAAAGACAGTTATGAATAAAGTTGAAATTTAACTACTTCTAATATAGTTTTCTTTCCAAAATATATCGAGGCCCACCAGCGGCCGAGCGGTAAAGTCGCTGAACTCTGTTAGTTCGGTCCGAGGTTCGAATCCCGCGAACGGGCTGGCTGCATGGGTGTTTTCGTGGTTTTCCCCATGTGTAACGTGTATACGAGCCAGTTTCCCTTAGAAAGTCCTCCACGAAGGCATCCCACCCCTTAGGCAGATAGCCCTAGCGTGCTTTGCCATAATTAAATACACCACACCACACCAAAAAATATCCAGATATCCAAAATTTTTATCTTTTATGTTATTCCAGGCATTTTATTCACGATGTGAAATAGCTCAGCATTTATCATTAAAAACAACGCAATAAATTTCAGCAAAACTAAAAACAAAAAACATTAGTTTTAACAGAACAATGTGTTTTATTTGAATTTTTGCCTTAAGAATATTACGACAGAATTTATAATTTCAGGACTGAAACCGAAAGAAAATTCAGTCATTCGATAGTTCCTATCAATACATAAAATGGCAAGTCTCAGAGATAAAATATTCTCCATATTATTACTGGAATTCGAAAAGCATGAATAAAAAAAACTTTGACTGCTGATTTATTGATCATTTTTAATAGTCATTTTCTCATAAAGCAGTAAAAGTACATATCTGAGTATGATAAAAAATTGCATGCAAGTTATTTCTGTCTGTAATAAATTTTAATTTACTTTTAAATCGCGTATATAAATGCTTGAAGTAATGTTTGTTCGAAAACTACCTAAAAATGTTTCGCTGCAAAATAAAAAAGGTTATACAAATTTCGAAGCTAAATGTATTTTCTCATTACTTCTATTTAAAATCTCTTTCATTAGCGCAGATTTCGTAAATTAATTTTCATGCTAATTTCAAATTTCGGCTGATTTGCTTATAACACTGTAAGAAAACATGAAATCAGTCCAACCTTAAATTACATTTATTACAAACTATTAATTTCATAGAATTTTTGTTCTACCGATTTCTATTCTTCACAGAATATTATTTAAAATCGAAGTCAGATTTTTATATTATGCTGATGAGCGTCTGTATTACTTTAACACTCAAATCACCAAATAGTAAATCATTTTGATTCGAAAGTAACTTATAATTTTAATTAAGATCGCATTTATAAATGTAAAGTTATTAATTTCAAGTAAACTCTTTCGAGGAGGGATATTTCTTATCTTGTTGGAAGGAGGAAAGTCAAACAGGAAAAACAAGGGGAAAAAGTAGGTAAATAATAATAATTAAAACAAAACCTGTTTTAAGAATCCATTTTAAAATAGAAACAAAAAGTTTTCAGATTTTTTATGATACCCATAGGGGCGTTTTATTAATTTACACACATATACGCATTTCGAGAGATTTTGGGCTGACGTCCCTTTGGGCTAAAAATATTTAAAAACAGCGTATCTTTAAATTTTCGATAGACAGTCTCGCGCGCTGGAGATGAAAATATTTTATTTC